AAATATATATATTTTATTGATTTTTTACAGAGAGGAAGGGAGAGAGATAGTTAGAAACATCAATGAGAGAGAGACATCAATCAGCTGCCTCCTGCACATCTCCTACTGGGGATGTGCCCGCAACCCAAATTATTCTTCATTTCAGTTAGTGTAGCCTTCATATCTGGCTGGTTATTTTTTCTGGTTTCCATGACCTTTTGTAAGCTGCTGAAGTTCTCACTTAGTTCATTGAGCAGCCTTATAACCAGTGTTTTGAACTCTGCATCTAGTAGATTGCTTGTTTCCATTTTGTTTAGTTCTTTTTCTGGAATTTTGTTTTGTTCTTTCATTTGGGACATGCTTCTCTGTCTCCTCATTTTGGCAATCTCCTGGGTATGTATATTTCTATGTATTAGGTAGAGCTGCTACATCTCCCAGGCTTGGTAGAGTGGTCTTATGTAGTAGATGTTCTGTAGGGTCCAGTAGCAAAGCCTCCCCATTCACCAGAGCTGGGCACTCAATGTGTACCCTCCCCCACTGTGGAGGATCAGCTGTGTAGTGGCCCACCCCACAGAGCAGCACGTACTTCAGTGGGGCTCTGACGCCTCACTGAGTCTGCCTCTTGAGTGTGTTGCTTGTGGAGGTGGTTGGGTGGCGTTTCAATGTGGTAGTATGCAACTGTCCTCTGGGTGCACTGGTTCTGGGGCCTCCCTGGAGGTGCAGGCCAAGGTCAGCCACCACCTGTGTTCTGCTCAGGGCCACCCAACATGAGCTACAAAGTGATCTGCCGATGGCTGCTACTTGTGCTGGGCTTGGAGGTGCCCCAGATAGGCAAAGCTTAGAACCAAGGCTGGCTGCCTTAGCATGAGGTATGGAGCAGATGCTTCTTGTTTGAGAGATTTTAGGGAAGTCTGAAGCATGAGCCAAGAAAGGCCATTTATATGTAAAAGCCACTGGAAACAGTATGGGTGGGCCTGCAAATTGAGTGGGGCAGGGTCTCAGAGAATCACCAGGGTGAAGAGAACAGTGTGAGCCAAGTTAATGGAGACTCAGATATGGTGCCTGCTGACTCTGTTGAGGGTAGGTTCATCAAAGGAACAACAGCCTCTGCCAGCACTTCTGTCTGTGAGAAAGCTGCCCCTCCAGCTCTCACCCTGATGCCAGACAATTCAGTTCCTCCCCATAGGTCCCTGGTGCCTTTCAAGCTGCTGCCTCAGCACTGGAGCTCAGAGGGAGTAAGTCCAAGTTAGTCCATGTGTGGGCCCTTTAAGAGGAATGCCTGGAACTCACAGCCCTCCATCTCACTCAGTTACAGGCCCTGCTGATTTTTACAGCCAGGAACTACACAGCAGATTTTTGAATGCATGTGGATCAGTACCCTAACCCCCCACATTTTTCAAGGGTCAACTGTATTTAGAAACCAATATCTGGGTGCTATAGGTCCTCACTGCTCCTGGGTTGTCATTGCTTCTAGGCCTTCCCAGATGACAGAGTTAGGAAGTAAATAAATGTATGTGTACATACACATGCACACATCTATATTTATGCATACAGATAGCTATAGAAACATAGGATGCCCCCCAAAATACACACACTTTGAATAATTATAAAGGCAATGTTTATTAAAATACATTTCATTTAGAAAATTGAGCTATCAGCTGTTAAAGTGTGTATATATTTCTTTGGGGACACCCCGAATATAAATACATGTGTATATAATATTATATTGAAATCATAAATTCCTACCAATACCTCCTATTCTAACCCAAAACCATGTAAATATTTGAAAAAAGATCTGAATATTTTTTTCTAGGACATTGAGAAACCTGACTCTCGTTATTCACAATATATAGTTATTAGTTCAGACCTGTGTACATGTAGTTTCAGAATGACTAACTCACATGCCTGTGATAAACAAATATACTCACTACAGTACAAAATTTGTATAATTAGTTCTCCCTTTAGCTCTAAAATACACAAATACTACTTTCCAAAGTTACTTAAATTAATTCTTTCCTGCCCCACCCTTCAGTATGGTTATGTTATCTATATATAGTATAAGTCTAAGCAAACATTATGACCAAACGACCGGAACGACCACTATGACACGCACTGACCACCAGGGGGCAGATGCTCAATGCAGGAGCTGCCCCCTGGTGTCAGTGCACTCCCACAGCCAACCTCCTGTGGCTGGCCAACCTCCTGTGGTCCACTCCTCCCCCCTTCCCATGCATGAATTTGTGCACCAGGCCTCTAGTCTATTTATATTACAGTTAGGGTAATTTGTTACTGCTCATATTCCACTTTCGGTTCCCCCCACATCCTGGTTGTTTTTCAGTATTTT